GTCACTTAATCATTTGAACCTTTTTACATTTAGAATATTACTCCTACATCTCATGACATTTATGCACGTACAACATGTAACCCATTTTCATTGATATCTGTTAATATAACCGTTAAAAAATATAATTTTATCCTAATAAAAAATTATAATTTCATATTACCCTTATTTTATGGGTCCAATATACTCTAAAGTTCAAAATCAAGCTTACCATTTGAATGTCTAATAAAATGTAGGCATATATATAATGTTTTTCATATTTTCTTTTTTATAAATATCTACATTCTATTAGACATTCAAATGGTAAGCTTGATTTTAAATTTAGAGTATATCGAATCCACAAAATAAAGGGTAATATGAAATTATAATTTTTTATTAGGATAAAATTGTATTTTTTAACGATTATATTAATAGATATCAACGAAAAGTGGTTATGTTTACACATGTACAAACGTCATGAGATGTAGGGGTAATATTCTAAATGTGAAGGGGTTCAAATGATTAAGTGACAAACATGAGGGGATCTAGGTATAATTTATCAATTTAGTTTTAGGTGCACATTAATACAGATTTCTATCTTTGAGGGTACAAATTGAGATTTTTGATTTTTGGGGGTGTACATTGATACAAATTTCTATCTTTGAGGGTACAAATTGAGATTTTTGATCTTTGGGGGTGTACATTGATACAATTTTCTATCTTTGAGGGTATAAATTAAGATTTTTAATTTTTGAGGGTGTAAATTGAGATTCGAACGATCTTTCGGGGTGTAAAATAAGATTAACCCCAATTTATTTATTGGATTTGCACTTTGCAGCCGCCGGTAGTCCGTAAGTTTGAATTTTATATCAACAGTCTGTTACCTACTTTGTGAGTGACCCAACAAGGTGGCCCCTTCCATTATTGTTTGCCACCGCCATTTTGCGAAATTTCGCATGTGCCCATGGGTTTAATATGGATAGGCTAAATCTCACGTGAAAGAATTATAAATTTTGATGTCTTAAGTTTGAATTTTGATAATTTTTTAAGATTAGATCATGAAAAATTTATCTTTCATGAATATTTTAATATCGACGTAGACAGTTTGTCTTTAATCAAACTGAAAGAGGATTAGTTGAGGTACATGTAAATTGACTTGAAAATTTAAATATATATGTGTGTGTCTATATATATATATATTATTTTGAGAGGAATATTGGTGACCGTTTAGACCGTCGAATGAGATTATTAAAATCTGTCATATTTTATATTATATATTGGTCGGATAGATTGATAGTTCAATCTAAGTTGTAATAAAAATTTATAACTATCATATAATTTAAATTTCGAGTTTGAATCCGTACTGTATGTATGATTTGATTTTCATAAACTTGGACTAAATTTTGAATTCAATTCCTAGTTTGAATTAGTGTTAATTTAAGTTGAGTTAGACTTTGATTCAAATTTTCATTATAGGGTTTTACAATTGTGATTGGAATACGTATTTTGAATTCGAAGTTGAACCGAGTCATTGATTCGAGTAAAGTTCAAGTTAGGTCCTAAAAACTAATCTAATTGTAGTAATATTATTTGAACCTAAAAATTTGACCTAATTTACTATCATATTAATGTGAATTCTTAGAAATTATTGGATCAACACTAAATTATAATGTTTAATGGGGTCTACAATAAATTCAAAGGTCACAGTGAATTAAATCAGCAAATTATGTCAATAAATTAGGTCCAAATAATATTGCTCACCTAACTGTTGCTTGAATACACATTAAATTATATATTTTTTTTGTCATATCTACCCCAAATATTATAGAATCTCTGATAAACTCTTGAATATTTATATGTTGAACTTTCATTGAATTCAAATTTACCTCCCCAAATTAAAAGTATGCAGGAAAATTCAATTGTATATCAAGTGGAGTGAGAGACAAGAAGCTTTCAAGCAATGTAGATATTGATGTGGATGGGAGACTTTTCCTTTTAATTAAAGTTCCTTGCCGAGGTTGGAGGGTAGAGGAAAAAAAAACTCATGGGTTTTCTTGTTCCAGAGGGAATTCAATCTCAATTGATACATAATTTTCTGGTTGCCATTTGTTTATGGTACATCTCCCCTGGTCTTTGTCCACTATGTAATGATCAATCTTTGTATGCACTTCTTACACGCAATAAACTTGTGGGTTACAAGGAATGCTACTATGAATTTTTTTACACAATAAGTGTAGTTGAGGTAAGAAATAACGATTTCTACTCAGTTTGTTCCATGTTGATTGAATGTAATTGGAAGTATGGATTGAGTATCCGTTCGATTTTTTGAACAATTTATATAAAATGGGTTTCTTTATATTTATTTCACAAACTTATGGTTGTTAACCCGATATTTAGAATATTTTAGTAAACTTAACCCATTGTGACTAGGAAATGAGTGTTATTTCCAAAAATGTAAGGCTATACTTGCATTTGTGGGTAAAAAAAAGAGTACTTTTAAGGCATTTGTTTTAAATTCAAAAATCATCGTTCAAGAGTAAATATTTAGCATAATAATTATATTATACTAACATTATCATGTGATGTTACTGTTCAATAATATACAAATAAGTGGACAATATAAACTCTATTTCTTTACATGGGCAATTATTATTTTACGTGGTAAGATTCAATTTGTCTATTTACTAGATTACTGAGGATATAATGTGACAATATTAATTTTTGTATACAATCATTGCAATGAATATTTTCTACTTGCTTAGATGGAAAGAAAAAAAGACGACAAAAAATAAAACCTCATAACACTACTTGACCATGACTTAGAAAACAATTCGTAATTTCAGCGGTACAAAGGGGCAAATTAACGAAAAAAAGCCTAATTGAAACTTGAAAGACCAGCAAAACATACATTGCAAACGGATGAAGCCCACCGCGAATAATAACCCCATAGACGACTTAGTCGCTTGAGGAAGGCTCGTGTTAGAGAATGGTCTGTTTTGTCAAACACGTGTCTACTGTATCAACGTCTAAGTCAGCTAACTAATCTATCACTATCCCCACTATGCCACTATCAAGCAACAGTCAATAAAAAGATTGGTTCAACTATGGTAGTGGGTAGTAGTTGGCGGCTGTGGTGGCTGTAGTGGATGGTCGTTTATACAATTTCATTCCCACTATTTTGATAATTAGTATTTCAATGTCATATTTTTGTTATCTTTCGTCCTTTATTCTATTAACGTTAATAGAGTGATTTTTTACGGAAAGGACAACTGCAATTAACAAAAAGAACATATTATAACAATTTTGATATATTGAAGCTTCAATTTGAAAAAATCGTTCTCTAATGGTGTCAAATGAAAATTCTTCAATATTTCTTCTTTATTAAAGTCTTATTCATATACATTATAAGTGTACTAGTTATTGTTTTTGCCTAAAAATATAAAATAATAAAAAAAATAGTGAACAATAAATATATTTGTATTCACGTAAAAATCAAATCACAAATATAGATAAGAAAGAAAGAATTTTAAGTACCGAGTGAGAGTGAGCGATGGTAGTTATGATGGGTGGTAGTGGTGGTGGTGGGGTGGCAATGACAGCGATGGTGCTGGTAAGGGTAATGGAGATGGTGGTGGTTGGAGTGGTAGGAGGGTGATGGTGATGGGATGGCTGCAATAGTAATGACGACGATGGTGATAGTAGGGGACAATATTGGTTGTTGTGGCAGGGGTGGTGGTTGAGTGACAACGGTAATGGTAGTATAGTGGCGATAGTGGTGGTGGTGGGTGTAATGGGGATGGTAGTGATGGTCGGGAGGCAACGATGGTAATGATAGGAGGTGGTATGGTGACAACAACGATGTGATGGTAAATGTTGGGGTGATGGTAGTAGTTGTGATAGTGGTGGTGAGGCAGTGGGTGAATGGTGGTGGTGAGGTGGTGACATTGGTGATAGTGGTGAGGTGGCGATGGTCGAGGTGGTAATAGTAGTGGTAATGATGGTGGAGTATAGTTTGGTGATAGGGTAGGGCGGCGGCGGTGGTGGTAATTGTAATGGTGGTGGGGGGTGGGGGTGATAGTGGTGATGGTAGTGGGGCGTTGAGAGTAGTTTTAAACACTAATTTTTTTTTTAAAAGTAGTTATGAGAAATTGAAAGAGTCCCTTTAAACACACCCTTAGGGGTTTATTTTTCCTATTAAATTTGAAGTATTAATATTAGTTATCAGATTAAATTTAAAATAAAATTGAAAGAGATCTCGACCGCAAATAGCAAAAATCATTTTATTTATCTTTTGAAATTTGAATTGTATTATAATTTATTATATAAATAATGTCTTGTAAGATTTTTATTAATTTTAAACCAACAAAAATTTTTAGTAATAATTTCAGAGGAAAAAAAAAAAGAGAAATAGAATTTTCTATAACAAAAAAATTGAAAAATTTTCAAGTTATTTTTGACATATAAAAAAAGCTCAATATATTTTTTGTCACAAGGTGTTTAAATTTGAATAAATTATTCTCTCGAATTTTGAGTTAACTATCATAATTCAAATTAAATTATATATTTAATGAGTAATATTACATGAATTTAAAAATTAAATTTGATAATTATAAGTATTGATTTCACTATGGGTCCTAATATTTATTATGACTCACTATCTATTCAATAATTATAATTAACAAACCTAATTTTTAACTTTTTGTAACATTACTCATATTTAATAGATGCGGAAAGACAAGGGATGTTTGACTTAACAAATACTAATATTAGTTAATAAAGATAATTCTATTAACCTTAAACAATTAAACCATACAAAAATCTCATGGTAGAAAAAATCGCTGAATAATATTGGCTACTCTCTAACTGTACAATTATACACACCACTGTTTACATTCAATTGATCAAACATGGCCACGTTACGAAGGCAGAAGTATCTCATAGAATACAATTACAGAACAACACTGCATTTTCCACAAAAGTACTAACTAGCCCCAGAAAGTATGGGCAGAGACTGGTCTTCTTGGTCATCTGACTTCAACGAGGAAATCATCTACGTTAAACTCTCCAAAATCTTCGGCGCAGTTATTCTTCGACAGACAGATATCCGCCAAAGTGAATGGCATGTCGATGTCGAATCCGAACCCGAACTCAAACCCGAATGCGTCCACCTCACCATAACTGAAATTGTCCAACGCCGTGAAATCGTGGTTATAACGGAGTACCGACGTCGGTGAGAAAGCGGTGTCGTTTGACAGGCCTTCGTTTTCCTTCGGCGGTGTGGAATCGTTGTTATAATGGAGCACCGACGTGGGCGACAAAGAAGAGTCGTTTGATAGGCCTTCGCTTTCCGTTTGTGCTTCAACGACCGTTTCCATAACAGAAACTTTGGGAAAGTTTGTGACGGCGTCAGGACCCTTTAATTTAACGGCGGCTCGGTCGTACACACAGGCAGCTTCTTCAGGCGTGTCGTAAGTTCCGAGCCAGAGCCGTTTCCTTCGTGACGGGTCTCGGATCTCCGCTGCCCACCGTCCCCACGGCCGCTGACGCACGCCCCTGAACTTTTTCTTGCGAGTGACGTCAGTTTCAGGCGAGCCCAAGCTTTTGAAGCTTCGCTTCTTAGCTAGCTCTTGCTTTGGCGATTTAATAGTTGGCCTGAAGCTTATCTCTCTGACGAGTCTCTTCATTCTCCGATTGGTAACTTGTTCATCGTCATCGGAGGAATCAGTGGCATCGGCGTCGGTGAGTATGATCCTTACCACCTTTTGCCTGAACTTCTTTGGTAAGCCGTCGGACGCCATGTCGTGAAGACGTGGTCTGAAAGTTTCACCGGCGTTCGTACGGACACCTGAGAGTCAACCCCTTGATTTATAGTCCTTGCTATGGACGACGCAAAACACAAATACAAGGAGATGATTATCTTTTTGCACGTCAAAAGGGTATCAAGATCAGCTCTTTATTTGGGTAAAACTTAAAAACAAGAACTGATACACCTGAGAGGATCATTGAAGCAACAGTTGAATCAGCAGTGAAAGAACAACAATCTCGGAGTCCAACGTTTTGGCTCAGAGGTTCAGACTTGTTGGGACCAGACAGAGAGACAGAAGAGAGTCTTTATATATAGAGAGGGAATTACACAGAGAAAGTTTAGGCAGTTAGTATACGTAGTAAAGCTGTGCTCAAACTTATAGAGAAAAGAAAAAGAGAAAGAGATAGCTCTCTGCAGCAAAGAGCTTTTGCTGTTTTGGCGGGAAACCAACAAACACACAACTTGTGTAATAAAAGCTTTCTGCAGCAGCAGCGTTAAAGATATGGAGAAGGAGAGAGAAAGAGGAGGTGAATCGGAGAAGACTGATGCAAGTAGACCTAAATTTATAGTGCACGGGTGTAGAAAGGAGGGAGTAAAGTCTCTCTCTCCGTCCCTCTTTCTCTCTCCTGTGTGTGTGAGCGGAGTCTTTCAGGACTGCCTCGGTCGTGTCGGGGTGGAAACGGAGGACTATTACAGCTGGTTTTGTTCACGTGTCAAAGGCTTTTATTTTGGGCCAAAAGTCTATGCTTAGCTTCTTTTTTTTTTGACCAATCTTACTCTACTTGCCCCAAAAAAAATCTTATTATTTTATTAAGATTATATAATTTTTTCTTCTGTAAAATAAAAAGAAAATAAATAATTATTTGCTGAAAGTTGTGGAAGAAACGTTTGCAAAAGTTCGTGGAAAACAACTGTGAAGACCAAAGTGGAACGTGCAAAGAAGCAGCATTTGTCATTGCTTGATTGTATTTTATATCTATTTCATTTTGATTCAATAGTATATTATATCCGATTTTAAATTATAATTTTATCCTTCCCCTTGTTTATTTGTCACAAATATTATTTGTGTAATACCTATTTAAAAAAGTCAAAAATTACAACTACTCAAAATAAAAAGACAATTGTAACCTTATAATCTAATATGGGACATTGTACATGAGGGTATTTGGGCTTTTTTACTCTATTATATCTCCATGAAATTTATATCGAGAATATTATACCATCGAGTAGGTGGTATTGCTTAGCACAGTATACAAGGTATAAGAGTTATTCCTCACATTGGGTCAGTACTATGAACCAGAAATTAGTACCAAATAAAAAATGTCAAACAAACAAGGTATAAGGGTAAACTCTACGTACTATTTTTCTTATACCACCCTTATACCTCAAACAAGCAGGCCCTTAAAGGGTTATTGGGCTGCCCTCGACAGCTCTGATAGAATCTCCGGGGATAACATGAGTGGCAAATTTATATCATGATATAATTGTATACTAATTATAATTTTTAAAGAAAAAATTAAATTTTTATTCTTGATTTTATTCCAATAAATGACATAATAGAACATAAATTTTGGTTGACAAATTCATGTTCTATTATGAATGACTTAGACTTCTTGTTTGATTTTTTAGTTTTATTCCAGTAGATAATATAATTATATACTAAATTTCGATTTTCTAAAGAAAAAATTAGATTTTTATTTTTGATTTTATTTTAATAAATGATACAATAAAATATAAATTTTAGTTGCAAAATTTAAAATATTTGATATTTTATCTTTAATTGGAGTATTTTTGTCTAAGTATAATATTTTAAACTTAAAGGGTTTTATATGCCTATAAACTAAAGGGGATCTGGTGATATTTACTAACAGATATATTAACAGCAAGGTCTAAGTGAAAGACGCGCATAAATTTCAGAAGATTTGTGTATAATATTTTAAATATCAAGAAATCTGAGTAATTAAGTGATAAACTTCCAAGAGTTTAGGTATAATTATACCAAAAAAAGGATCAATGGTGGTGCAACGATCCATTATATTAAAAATCTAATACAGCCTAACAAATTTAAAAATAGATGCACAACGTTAATTTCTTCTTTGAACGTATCTGCTTCCGTTCTTCCAATCTTTTCTTCTTCCTCTGATGTTCTCTTTCAGCAATTCCTATAAAGCACTTGGGTTTTCCAGTTAAGAACATGAGATACCTCAAAACTAATCCATCTATTGTTCCACTACCATAATCCGTCAACATGGATTTTCAATTAAATCCACTCAAAAATTCTAAGTTATTTTCTTCTTGCAATATCATTGGAGGTGCTTGTGATGTCTCTTCATCACCACAGTTTGTTGACAATGGCAATCATTCTGAAAATGTATTAAATTGTCCACCTTGAGGGATGTGTCCCACAAGATTATTTTGCTAGAGATTTAAGACTACAAGGAATTTTATATGTGTAAGTTGTGCAAAAATCTCTCCCACAACTTTATTGTAGTAAAAGTCTAAGGATTCAAGCGCCGACAAATTACCCAGCAAGTATGGTATTTGACCAACAAGGTGGTTGTGTGACAAGTTGAGTGCTCTGAGTGAATTAAGATTCTCAATTATATTTGGAATCTCAACTTCAAAGTTGTTGCTGGACAAATCAATGGTTGTGGAAACTGTTAGAATTCTCACTAGTTCAGTCTGCTGCCCCTTTAATATCATAGTAACAAAATCTTGATAATTTTGTTCTTCAATATACTTCAGTTCCACTCCATTTTAATGCACATTCTGTAGAGCTTTCAAATTCTTGATATAATTTGCTGGGAGAAGACCACTAAACTCATTATATGAGAGGTCAATGATGCGCAACTTAGAGAAGGGATTTTTAATTCTCCAAGAGTTGCGTATGGGTCCATGAAATGTATTGGAATTCAGTACAAGAACCTGGAGCTCTGGAAGTGTTCCCAATCAAATATCATGTTGTTTCCAATGTCAAGAACTTCTAAGCGATTTGGCCAAAGATCGTGGAACCATTCTTTCTTATTGATTGCCACGCAAATTAAGTGTCCTCAATCTATTGCACTCTAAGCGAACAACCTGTATGATTTGAATTAATTTTTTTTTGGTAAATATGATTGTCATTCATGTTGTCATCTACGTTATTGCAAAACCATATTAAACTTTGGTCTCCCTTTGGATTTGTTATTGTTAGATGATGTAAAATGATTATTTATGAATGTATAAGCCAAGCATACACCCTTGTAAATTTCTAAAACCCTTTTCCACTTTCTTATTAGTAAGCCTATCAAAGTCTGACACGATGTGATTAACCGACACGAATCAACATAAATTAAGCGGGTTTGGGTGATAAACAAGTTAACCCGTCAGATATGTTTAGTAAAAGAGTCGTGTTTAGGTGAGTCTTATATCAACCCGTTTAAATAAAATTAATATAATAATAAATTAATAATTATTTTAAAAAATTAGGCACATTTTTTTGTGACAACCACATATATATATATATATATATATATATATATATATATATATATATTATTTTTAGTGATAGCCACATTTTTTTAAAATTTAGTTACAGCTACAAAAAATATAATAATAAACTAATAATAAATTAAAAGTAAACAGGTTAAACGAGTCGTGTCGTATTATCCGTTTATTAAACGGTTCGTATTCGTGTTGAAATTTTTCATCCGTTTATTAAACGGGTCATATATGAGTTTATATGTTTATCACTCGACACATAACTGTTTAACCCGACACGTTTGACACCCCTGTTTATTAGTCAACCAAGTTTTATTCATTGAAAAAAAAAACAGGTTTTATTCTTGTTCTCAAAATAGTGTCTTGTTGAATACAAAACAATGCCGTTTTATACTAGAAATAATTCTTTTTGGTGATAACACTTCTATCAAACATCGAATGATCTCTAGCCGTAGGCTTTTTCAGGGATTACTATCAATTTGCACCATCTAATGAAAATTTGACCTACAGTGTGAGATCAAATACTGGGAATCTTGTATCCTTGAACACAATCATATTCGACATAATTTTGTTTCTCCTTCAAGTGAGAATTTGGTTATATCATGTATCAGAAATTTATCCACTACATGTTGTCACTTCCTACCTTTTAAAAGGTTTCAAGGAACCCTAAAATGGGGTTCCCTATTTTGGGCTTGTCGGAGGAACATTCTAGACAATACTAGAGAGATAATGAGGAACTTCAAGAGGCACTAGAAGATTCATGTACATGGCTAATAACTATCCATAGGTATTGGAAGCACCATAGATGCATGCCACTTGTAAATATTCTAACCATTCATTGTAAGGCCAAGACCCTATAAATAGGGATGTGTTCGCATTTTGTACTCACCAAGTTGCAAGTTACAATCTCTCTTGAGCAATATCTATATATATATTAAAAATATACCCCTATAAACCAACAGAACAGTCTTGATTAACCCAAAATCGATCCAATGGTACATGTACAATTACTTGATCAAAATTTTCCCCTTCCGCTCCACACTGCCGTTTCTCTTTTCTCCCTCCCTCACCTGTCAATCACATAGACTTCCCCTAACTAACCCGTCAATCAGACCACCCCACTTCTTAGCCAGTCTGGCCCACTCTTCCCTCTCTTTCTTTAGCTTCTCTCTATCAATCCCTTATTCTCTCCTCTAGCTTCGGCGACGTTCCCAACTCCGGCAACTTCCACACACTATGAAGCTCTAGCTCCTAACAATGGCGCCCTAGCCTCTATCAGACATCATCAGTCTCTCCCTCTTTCCTCTCTCTTTGTCTACTGTCTTTACCAAACTACAACCGCCTGTCACCGCCATCTTTCTCATTTATTTTCGGTGAACAGAATCACAAAAAATCTAGAATCTCCACCCCACAAACATCATGCCTCTGCCATAACCCCTCTTTTTCACCTTCTAATTCACTCAACCAAACCATTACCACTGCACACCACGTCGTTCACCCTTTCTAGCTCTC